GGGGGAAAAAAAAGTAGGCAAAGGGAAATAAGGCTGTGTTGTATAGGTCCCCATTCTCAAGGAATCTGTCACACATTCTCCTGCAAGGCAGCGCTGTGAACAACTACACAAACCTCTGCCTTGAACGCACCTCAGGCTACTGCCAGATGAAAATGAAGAAACTAGGACTCCTCAACTGAGAACAAGCTTACTGCCAGGATGATGCTTTTAATCTTTCTGATATACATTCCTTAATTCTCTAATCACAGTCTCTGAAGAAACAGTACCCTTTCCTATTCAGAAAATGCAGTAAAAGGATGGTATTAAATCTAGCTTGTCTTTGCTGCTTCAGGTCTGATGCCAAGTATCTACACATTTCCAAATGAATTATGGTACCAAGCATATACAACTCTGTTTTGGGAAAGCAGCAGTTCTGTAGTAACAAAGCTCCTAAGTAAGGTAATGGCATAACTGAGAATAAGTGTATATTAGAATTGGGTTTTACCAAGTCTTTATTTAAGGCAGTTATTAGAATGTGTCTATTCCTTTTGAAAAATTGCAAAACTGTGGTTTGTTTTTTTTAAAAAATGTAGGCTTTTGGCAGCTGAAATGGGTTACCTTTATCTATTTTCTGTCCTTCTAATCCAAAGAACTATCCAGCCCACAGAATCACAGGAATTTGAGCCGAGTTGTAACCATTTACCTCCCAAACTCTCCCAACCTGCTTCTTTAGATGTCCAATGGGCTCACAATAGCAAAATCAGAATCCTTGCTGTTGTTACTGCTGTCATCATCAGGGCTGGAGCTCAGGTTGCTGGATGAAGCTGAAATGGAACCCATCAGTGGGTCAGAGAATATCAAAGAAGAACGAGATGGAGCTTCTGGCTTCACTGCTGCCTCCTTGTGTGCCTGAAGGGACTGTTCTGGCTCCAGGACAGCACTTCTGCTTCTCTCCTCTTCTTTGGAAACCATAAGGTAGTCATCAGCACTCTTGCTCTCACTAGTGCTCGAATCAGTTGTAGTCTGTGAGACAACGGCACGGGAAGGACCTCAAGTTAGTACCAGTTTTACCAATTAACAAGGTTTATGATGCATGTCAGGAATGGGATACAGGGATAATCATTATCTAGAAGTAGCAATGCCCAAATCAAGAAGTAAAAAAAGAAAGTGTGTATTAACTTTTGATGAAATAATTTGTTACGTACAAAAGCCTAAAACCTAACATGTTACTTGGTATAGCAGCCTTACAAGTTTCATCATCATAGTGCAACCATGTAGTGATCACAGCAGCCAGGCATCTAACACATACAGTTGTGAAGATTTTAATGAGAGAAAATATTGTAATATATAATAATATATAATAATAACAAAACAATGAGAATTATATCCTCATTAATTATATACTAATTATGCTATCAGTAATTATTTTCAGTAATTATATTCTCATTGCTGTTAGTTTTCAGTATTAATTAATGAAGTAGTATTTTTTGTTGGCTTGTATGTACAATGGGATTTTGGAACTTGTCAGGAGAATGGTTTGATGTAAAATCCCTGACCTGTGGAATCTGAGCCATAGACAGACCCTGTTCAGTGTGTACCCCTTCAGGCTCAACAGATCAAGGCTCCCAGGGCTTCTAGGCTTAGTGCTGTCAAGTGTTTCCTAACCGTACCAGAAACTGAGGGTCTGGGAATCCTTCTGTCTGCTTAGACCTTGGGAAATATGTCTCCCTGAGCACTCAGGTAGTGGATGAAGACTATGGATCAGCATACCAGCAAACTCTCAATCTTATATTCCAACTAGCCACATTCAGGAGAAACCCAGCTTTTCAACAGTCAGAGCTACATGTGATTAGAAGGGAAGACTACCATATACAGCAGAGTGGGATTTCTCCCTTCTTGACAACTGGCAGCCTATTAGCTTGACTGTGATCCAAATGGACAACATTGTATTTTCTTCTGTAAGAGATGTACTCAACTCCTGTCTCGTGCTATGCTCCCCTAACAAGAACAGGACTACTTTCTTAGTTGCACTCACACAAATATTTCCACAGTAACGACGCAACCTGTCAAACAGCCAGTGAGGACAAGCATCCTGAAGGGAAATGATATTGAAAAGAATATATTTGTTTACACTAATGCAAGACTGAGAAAAAGGAAAGTAGAGGGGCAGCTGGGGAAATGTGTATGTCAACGTGTGTCAACTACAATCCCTTCAGCTGTGACTCTTTCACCAAAGAAAGAAATGCAAATTCACTCTGGGATAAATGAAAGACTGTGGCTATTAAAGGAAAAAAGAAAGTAGTTACGAAAAAGAACAACAGGAGTAATCTGAATGAAATAAAGTTAGACCCACAGCACAACAGGTAAAATCAGAGTATGGAGGTCATCACAAGTATCAGTAAGCCCAGACTTGGAGTTATGGTATCCATGGCCTCCAGCAAAACTTATTTTGCCAAATTCATTATTACAGCTGAAAACAATTTTCCATTGCTCTGGTTACTGATGATAGATCAGAACGTTCTTGAAAGGGAACTGTAGAGTAGCTCAGGGAGCAAAGCCCACCTGTGACTAAGAATGACTGTAACATGAAACAAGGGAGCTGGAAGTTCTTGCTTGTTATTTACATAATTGTTACAAACTGTTAAAAGTCACAAACAAGTAAGTATCAGCTGAAAGTGAAAATATGTTCAAATACAGAATTGTGACCTGTTCCCTTCTGAAATTCATATGAACAAGGATTCAAATATATCCCATGCAATAAACTTTTAAAACATCCTGTCCTTATAATTTTTTGTGTTATCTACGCAGTGTCTAGGTATAATATTATATTATTATCTAGGTATAATTTTAGATAGTATTCTGCTTTGTGATTATCCCATTTTAATACTTTATCATTCAAATGGAAATACCTTAAGTCCAGTGTATTGGTTACAATTTTATGAAAGACAGTTGCCAAATAGATAGATATTTACTTTTTTTTTCCCTTTTTAAAAAAAAAACTAATTCATTTTCCTCAGGTGACTTAATAAAATTCCTATCCAACTGAGCAGATTGGTTATAGAAATACCAATATCTATCCTGGCTGACAGCTATCAAAACTGATCTCAAACTTCCTGATCTGTGAGGAGTCAGGGTAGTTCAAATGTCAACAATTTCAAGGAGTTTCCAAGAAGTTAAGAACAAATAGATCTATCCTACAAGGAGAGCTACTTCACTATTTAAGCATTTCTGAATTGAGGCATCATTTGCTATTAATTAGCCTTTTGCTTTCATCTGATCTGTTTGAAATTCTGTCTTCATTCATTCCACCAGTCAGCCGGCTCCCATCTCCAGGGAGCCCAGGACACAGGCATCACACAACTGTGGCTCTCCTCCACCAACAGAGAATCATAAAACCATTGAATGGTTTAGGTTGGAAAGGGCTTTTAAAGGTCACCTAGTCCAACACCCCCTCCCTGCAGTGAGCAGGGACATCTTTAATTAGATTAGGTTGTTCAGAGTTCCATCCAGCCTGACCTTGAATGTTTCCAGGGATGGGGTATCTGCCACCTCTGGGGGCAACCTGTTCTCATGTTTCACCACCCTCAGTGTAAAACACTTCATCCTTACATCTTGTCCAAATCTACTTTCTATTAGTTTAAAACCATTCCTCTTGTCCTGTTGCAACAGGTCCTACTGTTTGTCCCCATCTTTCTCACAAGCCCCATTTAAGTACTAAAAAGGCCACTAGAAGGTCTCTCCAGAGCCTTCACTTCTCCAGGCTGAACAACCCCAACTGTCTCAGCCTTTCTGTACAGGAGAGGTGTTCCAGCCCTCTGACCACTTTTGTGGCTCTCCTCTGGACCCCCTCCAACAGGTTTATATCTTTCTTATACTGAGGACTCCAGAGCTGGACACAATACTCCAGACGAGGTGTCCCCAGAGCAGAGTAGAGGAGTAGAACCATCTTCCTTGATCTGCTGGCCATACTTCTTTTGATGCAGCCTAGAATACGGCTGGTTTTCTGGGCCATGAGTGCACACTGCCAGCTCATGTCCAGCTTTTCATCAACCAGTATCCTCAAGTTCTTCTCAGGAGGGCTGCTCTCAATCCCCCGGCCTGTATTGATACTGGGTGTTGCTTCAACCCAGGTGCGTTGACTTTGCACTTGGCCTTGTTGAACCTCATGAGGTTTGCATGTTAGCAGCTGCCTGACTTTGTAGGCACCAGTGCAGCCACAAGACAGGGCCAGATGAAGCTTTTTTTGGGAGCTCTACATGCCATTTTCCAAATTTTAGCACTTTGTTTCCCCCCGCTCCATGTAACAGAAATATATATTCTTTTAAACAACCACTGCTGCATAGTTCACCTGGCTTCTTTCCACACTTCTATTTAAAAGCACTCAGGGAGAACAGTACAGACTCATTTTGCAAAATTATACACTTCATTAAGCTATCAAGATCATGCTATTGCAGTTCTCATAGCTCTCCCATCTGAGATGGCTCCACCCTGCACAGGGTGACACAGATGTTCCCTAGTGACACACTTGCCCAGCAAGATCAATGTTTTCCTTGCTGATACCCCCAAGGATGCTAACAAGGTGTCTTCCTTTTGGCAGTGAGCCCCAGCAAGAGCCCTCTGTCACAAACACTTTGCAGTAGTGTTGCAATTTCCTGAATTCTGCTTCCAAAATGTGCTCCTTTGCAGTTAGAAAAGCACCCTGCCCGTTAATGAAAGGAAAGAAAATTACTCATCCTAATTTCTTTTCATTAGTGTTGTGCTTTGCAACTCTACTTTTCATTCTACCCACACTTTTTGGTTCAGTTAGAGAGACTGATAGCTAACTGATGTATCAGAGAAGCAGCAAAGCACAGAGATTGACTCCAAAATGCTCTAAAAGGGCCTTCTGCAAATGTTTGCCCATCCCTGGCACACACTGGTATTTTGCTACTGATATTTCCAGAGGTAAAATACCTCCTCCCTTCTTCTTCTGCCTGTTTCTGTTTCAGGAAACTCATGCTGACGTGAACCATGTTTTTTCCCATCTGCTGCCACTACCGAATAAATGAAAAATGACAGAATTATACTTCCAGTAGCTTTGAAAGTTAACAACCTTGCGCCCGTTGCCATATGGCTTCTCCAAACATTTTTTCCTGATGAATATCAGCTATATCAGCTTATTTCAATTGCCTTCATACTGTGAATGAGTTAAAACTAACTGTAAGGATACAATTCAAGACAGCTTAGAAGAACAGTGGCTCATTTTGCCTCCTTCTTTGAACAGGCATAAAGGCAAGATAATGTGCTAATTATCACTCATTATTTAGCAACACAAGCCTTCTGTTTGTCAACTGCATGCTGCTACCAAAGCCAAATATTCCAAAAAGTGTCCTATTTCTCTGAGCCTTTATCTTATTTTTTTTTTTCATTTTTTAATTTTGCAGCTTTCCTTCCCAAAGAAGGGTGGTATCCTTCTCCTTACTTTCAAGGAAGGGATTTTGAGGCAAAAAAGACGAAGAGCACTCTTAAAAAAAAGTAAAGATGATTAATATTTTATACTTACATAACAACCAAGCACAAAAAAGCTGATTCTTATCTCAATTATACAATAGCTACAACTGTAAATTTTCCAGCTGTCCTAGAAAAAAATGCTATAATTCCACCAGAGAAAAACCTCTACAGTGTAAGTCAGATCACACAGAATTACATGCATTGCCAAAGTCACAGGAAATACAAATACAGTAAAAATTATTTAACAAGAAATGCATTAAATGGTCGAGAAGTGGTTGGAATTTTTAATCCCCTTGAAGCTAAGTACTCTTGACTTGACCCAGGGCATCAGTGCAGCCCATTTTCTTTAGTACAGCTAAAAGCCTGGGCCACGGCCTGGTTTGGGCCAACAACTGACCTCATCAATTAACAGTTGAACATCACAGCCCACTAAATTTAGCAGTTTTATTTTCCTATGTTTTATTAAAAGGGGTCCAAAGTTCTCTTCTTTTTGTATAAAATGACATAGTGGTTAAAGATGATGGACCTGTAAAGAGTACAGACTGTTGGAGGACTAACAGTCTTGCTGGATTGCCATTTCTAACCCTAATATTTTCTTTTCCTTTCTGTGAAAGGGGCTAATGCTCATTATCTCAACTGGAACTTCCAGAAGGTTAAGAGGAGAGGAATATAATCTGTATGAATGTACTGCACCTCCAAACCTAAACCATGCAGCGCTGAAGCCTCATTAATGTTCTGCAAGAGCTCAGCTTGTATAAACTCTACTCATGTTGCTTATAGTTGGCTTATCAGCAGCTTCCGAAATTGTGGGACCCTCTCAGTTCCTGGGGGTAGATGTATATAGACTGACTATACACAGGGATAAGACCAGACCTCGTTATACACTGCCTCCAGAGCTTCCATTGGAAAGAAACCTGCACAGAGCAGGCTTCACCTGCTCCATCCAATGCTCAAAGTGCAAAGCCCCAGTGCCTCTGCCCAGTGTCACGTGGTTTAGACCAGATCTGAGCACAGGTTTCTCCAGCATGAGTATGGTCTGCACATGCTCATACAGCATGTTGTCATTTTATATGGCATTCTACCTACCAGTTTCTAGAATAAATCCATGTAAAAATCATCCAAAAAGTACTATCTGACATTTTGTCAGGAAAGCAAAAGGTACTTTGTATAAAATGCTAGGAAATAAAGGGCAAAAATAGGAGGTCATTATATGAACACTCCAATATGATACATCAGTTTAACCTATGGCTTTACGATGGCAGAAAGTAGTGATTGTAGTGAGAACAGACAAATAAGCAATGAAAGCTTTCTAGCAAAGCTTTGCTCTTTGAACCTGTCAAGGTTCAAGCAGTTGGTACTGCTAATAATACTGAAATACAATTAAAATATAATTTTTAACACAGAGTGTTCTAACTCAGGGGGACTGTAATAAAGTGAAACAAATCTGTGTCATTATTTGAAAAGTAATAAATATTTCCTGCTGTTCCTAAGTAAACTTGTGAAAAGTAAACTGGTTGCAGACTCAGACTGTGAGGTGATGGTGCTGCCACTGCTTTACAGGTGTGAGTAGCAGCAGTGGGGTGGCAGACTTAACAGAATTCTGGTACAGAAATGTGCATATACAAAAGTACTCGTTTTTAAGGGTAACTTTTGAGTGTGACTGAGTCTTGGACAGAGAGGGACCTTTTACCATGAAAGGAAATACCTCTTCCTGTGTATCAGCTTCTCCTCTGACTGTATGATTTGCATGTGAAAACATTGTTTACTGATTCAAGGAGAAAGTTAATACAATGGAGTAGAAGGTAAAAGCAACCTCCGTGCTCTTTCCTTTTTGGCACTGGCCACAAATACACTGCAATGCAGATAATCAGCTCTTACATAATTAGATTGTGGAGGACAAGAACAATGAGAATAACCATATAGGAACATTTGATATGGGAACATTCACCTCCAGTTTTTACATCTTTGTGGAGAAAGTTATTCTGTGATTCTGTGAGTCAACAATCTGAAAGAAGAGCCCTTCCAAACACTGTGTAACACTTAGACTTAAATATCTGTGTGTGGAGCATAACGCTACAATAAAAATAACTGAAGTAGGACAGTAGCTAGAGAGACACTTTTAACTGTGGTTCTACAGGCATCAGGAATTCTGCTGTGTTCCCATGTAATGGGAAGTCTTCAAAAAATGTAAAACTAATTCCATCAATGGCCTGTTTGAGACGGTTTTTTCTTACCTGTCGTCCTGAGATGAACTGTTGCTTTGTCATAACAGGTCCCTTTAGGGTATCACCTGTCCCCTTGTTCTGACTGTTGGAACAGTAATGATCATCGGCTATAGTGATTTGCTCATTTTCTTCAGCTTCCAGCTGGCTCTGGTTGAAACGTAATGAACCTTTCAGAATATCTTTGATCTGTTGTTGAACAGAAGGGGAAAGAATGTAAGTTAGAAATTCAGAGGAATTGAAAATTTTCTAAAGCTCTCTGCAGCATGCTTTCATACACCATTTCCTCAAAATATCTGCTTTGAAGAGACAGGAAGCAAGTCAATCTTCATCTCTATATTGGTTAAAGATACAAATATCAGTGAAATGTGGTTGTATCACAGTCTGGAAAACAACTATCCAAGATATTTAAAGGGAATGAAATTGTTAAGATCATTCCCTACCTCGTTATACATTTAACATATGTCACATTGTTCCTCATAAAATGTATTTTCAGGGAGCAGAGGGCACTATAATCAGAGCTACAGATGCTCAGCAGCATTCTCATTTTATCTATGTAGTATTTTTTCTTTTAATTCAATGACATTCAGGAGTCATCACATTTAAATAATGGGAACATAGGCATGACTATTGCCTAGCATGTAGATTTTGCATTAAGAAAAGCAATGGTGTTGCACTGCCTCAGTGCTGGTTGATGCATTCCTATTAGTCAAACGGCTACAACAAGACAAAGCAGCATACAAAAAGAATAAAAAATGAGAAAAAAAAAAAAAGGATTAATAGCAGTAAAGAGTAGAAGAAGGTAAAGCTAAGCGATAGTTATACCTGCTTCAAACCAGCCAAGGAAACTAGAATTTCATCTTCTTTTTCCAAGTGTTCTTGTAATATGACTTCTTGAATATTTCCTGCAACATCAAAAAAATGAAAAGGTAAACACAGAAAATCCCCTAAATAATCTCTAACGTGCTGCCAACTTACTGCTTACTTATGCTCTCAAAACAAAATCCTGTGACCTACAAACACAATTACACACACTGATCTAGAGGCTGACAACCTTACCAGGTGTGGAGGTGATGCCAGCCCAAGCCTGGCACTGCTGCCAGGACGCCCACAACAATGCTGTGCTGCTGCGGGACTTCCACTGCACCAGTGCATCAGTGGGCTCAGGCTGCTACTGGACCGTAGAAGAAAACATTGGCCTCTGTGACTAATGGAATTACATACATCTGTGAACCTGCAAATGTCAGGGAAAGCACCCAGTGCTCACAGGAACCTGCTGCAGTTCACTGAAAAGGTTAGGGTAGGAGCTCAGCAATCTTTGACTTGATCCCACGGCTGCTGAAGATTCTAGAATGCTCTTCTTTATAAAAAGACTGAAAGTTTCATCTCCTTTCCCAACTCTTCTTTTAGGTAAAAGACCTAGAGCTCAGCCAAACTTATTTGACAGAAAGAACAGTACAGTACTGTCACATCAGAAGGCCCCTGCCTTCTATACCTATAGTGCTGTCCTTCAAGGATGCATTTCAATACTCTGGTACATGGTGTTTACAGGAGTCAGGGCTGGAAGCTGGCTAAGGCAGCAAAGCTGGAGCTGTGGTGGTCTTCCCTATGCCAGGGAAAACCCAGGCAATGCTGTAGTCCAAACTAGCCCTGAGAAACTATAACTCCAATAGCTCTGCAGACCCTTTTAACTATGTTAGGTCTCCTCCTAGCTCCTGCTTTCCTTCTCTTAAAGAAAACATCACAGATACCTAGGACAGGATTACAGAATGAGATGGTGTCTGTCAACTGAAAATGACAGGATGCTCTTTTGTGCCACTCTACATAGACAGAGCTGGGCCCAGCTCTTTCAGTGACACTTATTTGGGAACAATAGTCATCAATATTTGTAGTGCTGGTGCTTCAAAATGAGAGCTTTGTACCATTAACTCACACCTGCAATGCATCTGTTTGTTTTCAAAAACATCCTACGTGTTCGGGGCCCAAAAGTAGTGAAAACTGTTGTCAATTTTGCTGACAAGGACAAATATGATGACACTGACAGCTCTGATAAAACGTGAAGTTTCAAGTAAAAGTACTGAGCGATTTGGTGGAAGTTTTGTGTTTGCAGAATAAATAGCAAAAGAATGAGGTACGGGGGACTGGACAAGAAGAAAGAATAGAATCATAGAATTGTTCTGGTTGGAAGAGACCTTCAAGATCACCAAGTCCAATCAGTAACCCAGCACCGCCAGGTCACCACTAAACCATGTTCCTCAGTGCCACATCTACATATCTTTTAAATACATCCAGGGATGGTGACTCCACCACCTCCCTGGGTAGTTTACCCCAGAGGTTTACAATCCTTTCTGTGAAGAAACTTTTTCTAATATCCAATCTAAGGATCCCCTGCTGCAGCTTGAGGCCACTTCTTCTTGTCCTATTGCTTGCTACAAAGGAAAAGATACCAAACCCCAACTCACTACAACCTCCTTTCAGGTTTGTAGAGAGCAATTTGGTCTCCCCTGAGCCTCCTTTTCTCCAGGCTGAACAAACTCAGTTCCCTCAGCTGCTCCTCATAAGACTTGTGCTATAGACCCTTCATCAGCTTCATTGCTCTTCTTTGGACAAGCTCTAGCACCTCAAAGTCCTTCTTGCAGTGGCCCAAAACGGAACCCACTATTTGAGGTGCAGCCTCACCAGTACAGGTTGTGATCACTTCCCTAGTCCTGCAGGCCAGACTATTTCTGATACAAGCCAGGATACTGATGGCCTTCTTGGCCACCTGGGCACAATGCAGGGTCATATTCAGGTGGATTTAAAATCCACATATAAAATTAGAGGTTTGAAATTGAGTGGGAATGAGAAATCAGTAATGGGTATATAAATGAAGAAGGGAAAGGGCAAAAGAGGAGAAAGGATCCAAGACTAAGTACTAAATGAACCACTAAAGAAGCCATCTGAATAGCAGAAGGAATAAAAGAGGCTAGAACCACGAAAGGTAACAGATGACAAGAGTCTATGAATGGTGATATGATCAAGGTCAAGAGCAAAAGTGGAGGTAGGATAACTCAGTTTTGAATAAGCAGCCTATCTCAACAAGGAGATCCATGTTACACGATTTAGGATTCATTATTTACCACATCAAAGTGGCAGTGTCCTGTAGCAATGAAGTCAAATGTAGCAGAACTGAACAGTGTCTAGCAGAAATTTTACATCAGAAAGGTGCTGTATTATGAAGGCTAGAAATAATATAAAACTAGATCTTTCTGCAAATGTGTGGCATCATGAATTGTGAGAAAGCATAACTAATTCAATATTTTACTTGCTTTATCAACACTTTACATCTAAATTATCTAGTTTGTCAGCTTGGTCAACTAAAAATATTAATTGTATCAATATTATTATATTAATATGTACTTATAATACTTTAGATCCTGATTTCTACTGTTTAACAAACAATGCATGATTTCATACCTTTAAAAGGTTCAGAACTTGAAACATCACAGGCAGGAAAGCAATGCTTAATCACAGCCTGAATCACTGCATTCAGCTGTCTTTCTTTTCCATTTCTCAGCATTAGAAAGAAAAGCACTTCTGCAGTGTTTGATCCCCACAGAAATTAAAACCACACATTAAAAAAACTAAGGTATGCATAATGACTAAGCAGATGGACCAAGAAAATAATTCAAAACAAACCTCCAACCTCTGAAGACTAAATGAGGGAAATGTAAAAAAATCAGGGAAATCAGAGCAAGTGAAGAAAAGCTGAAAGGCATTCCACATGATGTGGAAATAATCTACTCTTTTCTGTTCTTTAGAACAGAAATGTTTTATAAATCAGTATTAAAAAACAAAAAATTGAAAAGATTCTATTGTAGCTACAAAACCCAGCTGTAACTGTGAAGAGCCAGTACACTGACAAATTTCTAAGAACTTATGAATAGAACTGTGATAGTTTGCCAGCAGTAAAAATTAATAAAAATGTTTGTATCATCACATATTTACTTCAGCAAGAATAATGCCACATTTTAATATTAGTTTCAGAGGAGAAAAGGCTAAGAGTGAAAAGATAGGAAGTACAACAAAATTTTCTAATACTTAACTGCTGTATTTCTCACATTTGTCTTTCAGTTTGCAGTATCTTTACGCTATGACAGATGTCTTGGATATGTAGGGTCTATTATTTTTCATCAGATAAAACTCACTAAAATCTATTTTGCAAAAATTTCCACTCGGACTCTAAGACACAGTTTTGGACTTAAAGAGCACACTTCCACTTCACACAGAAAAATGCCCCAAGACACAAATCACTGTAATCAGCTGTACCTCCCCCCACCTCACCCCCACAAGTATTTGTGACATAAGGTCATAAATTGGGATGTCTTTCTCTAGTACAATGAAACAGAATTAAGGTTTCTCTGCGGAATTGGCAATGGATCTTTCGTCTTAAATATGCCCTTGAACTGCGCATGGCTTCTAATCTACTATACACATTGCTTCTGAATGCAAAGTTCATTAGCTACCAAACAAGTACAGAATCCAAATTTATCAGTGTTGTGTTTTTTTTTTTGTTTTTTTTTTTTCCCCCCTGGCTGGCAAATAGAGAGCAACTGAAAAAATGCATGTGGGCAACGTGATTTTTTTTCCCCAAAAAAAAATATTTTCTGCTTGAGTGCTTCCTCAAACACATTCTCCTGCTGGGACCACCCTTCGCAATCCCTGTGGACCACAGGCAGGGTGGGAAGAAGAGGAGGGGTGGCAAGTGACTCAGTAGGCACCTCTGCAGCTGCACTCCCATGAATGGCTGTGCCAGGGCTCAGCACTCCCCACCTCAGGGACTTCCACCCACGCCTCCTCCCACTGCTGGGGACTGGGAAACTACGCTCTCAAATGCACACAAAAGCTTTTCATTTCACCCTTCTGTAGCTCAAAAGGTACCCTTGTAATTATAAATACATTTAAAAACACTAGCTCTAGAGTGCCAAGAAGCGTATTTGATATGACATTGCTCAGCTGAAGTGTGTTTACATTAAGCTGAGATGTATCACTTTATTCTTTCCTTCATAGAAGATGTTACTGTATTTTGAAAGAAATGCTTTATGCATATAAATGAATTGGCCATATATTGATTTTGTTTCCTTATTTGATGCTCTCTATTAGTACCTCACAGCTTTAACTATTTTTTGAAAATAAAAAAACGATCTTTAAAAAAAAACCTGCAGAGGTCAATTAGGAACTGAAAACACCTTCCACCTTGTAAACCAAACACTAATATAACGAATCAAAATAATTGACCGATTATGTGATTTCTAGATTATTCAAAACTAAGTCCAATTTTACACTATGCTATAAATATTTATCTTATTAGAATAGCTGCTGTCATTCAAAACTTAACGAAATCCTATGGTACTTAGAAGACTGAGGCTAATGTCAAATATTTCTGACTACATTTTTTGTTTCTTCCCTTCCATAAAGATTTCACTTAGCTGACACCAAATGCTTTTTGCAGAAAAAGAAAATACTTCTGTTTCAATGAAGTTCTTACCAGAGGAAAACAAAAGGTGAATTTTGCAACCTGTCACCTGGTGGTCAGAGCACTGCTGTGAGATGCAGAAAATCCCAGACAGCCATTACATGATTCTGGATTTGTTTCAAACATAGTACTAAGAAACCTCTACGCTTCATAAAATGAACTCTCATACCCCTAAGCGTACTCTTGAAAAAGCCTCAGAAATACTGGAGCTGTAAAACCAGTCGCTCTCTTCAGAAATCAGCAATGTTATCCACTGCTGGGGCTGCCCTCAAACAAGACTCACAACCCCAGGGATGCCTCTTATATAACTGATTAGAATTAATTTGGGTGCTTAATTGTCAAGTGAGCAGATTCATTTAAGTTTGATAGATACAAGATCAGTAAATCAGT